TTATAGTCAGGATATTGGAGTATAGGAGGAGTAATTAATTGTTGTTTAAGCCAATTGAATATTTCTTCATGTTCATTAGTTCAAATAAATTCTATATTATTTTGTAATAATTTATATAAAGGCGTAGCCTTTTTAGCAAATCCTTCGATAAATCTTCTATAATAGAAAGCCAGTCCTATAAACGCTCTAAGTTGGGTAATGTTTCTTGGTAATGGAAGCTTTTCTAACTTTTCTACCTTTTGTGGATCAGATTTTATTCCATCAATTTCTACTATGTGTTCTAGAAATTGCATCTCATTCATACAAAAATGATATTTTTCAGGATTAATTTGTAGATTAGCCTTCATTATTAGTTTAAAAACTTCATTTAAATGTTCTAGATGTTGTTCAAATGTTTCAGAGTATATATTGACATCATTGATATATACCATAGCATATTTCTACAGAACAGAATTAAGAACCACATCCATTAATTTTTGAAATGTTGATAGTGCATTACAAAGTCCAAACGGTATAACATTGAACTTATAAAGATCAAATTTTGTAATAAAAGTCATCTTTTTTTTATTTTCCTCTTTTACTTGTACTTGCCAGTATCCAGAGGTTAAATTCAAAGAAGTAAACCATTTAGCTTTTTCTAAATTATCTAACATTTCATCTATACGAGGAAGAGGATATGTATCTTTCTTAGTTATAGAATTTAATTTTCTATAATCCATACAAAATCAAAGTTTTCCATTTTTCTTTTTCACTAATACTACTAGTGAACTCTAAGGACTTTCAGATTTACGAATTATTTCATCTTTTTCTATCTTTTTTATTTCATTTTTAATATGTTCTTGTTCAATAAGAGATGCTCGGTATGCTTGTTGTTTGATAGGAAAATGATTTTCAGTATGAACAGCATGATAAATAACATTAGTTTGTCTAAGTTCCAAGAATTGAGTTGCAAAAATATCAGAATTTTCTTTTAGAAAATCTTTTATTTTTGTTTCTTGTTTAATGTTTAAATTATTTCCTATA